AAAGGTAGAAACAGGGAATACACAACGGTTTAGACTTGAATGACTTAAATGTTCAAAAGATTGAATTTGATAAATTATGGAATAATTCTATTAATGATATATGGTAAATATCCTGGTAAAGAATAAAAACTCTCTTGGTCTCTAAAGTCTTTGTAAATAATCATTAATCATGTCCTATAGCTATGTCGATCTGTTTTAAGTTCCCTATTATTTGATTTAAAATCATGCAAATATGATATGTACAACCTGCTAAGACTTGTTGTCGTCTTTGCTCTTCCTCCCAATTAGAAATATTACAATTTACAATTTTTTCGCGAAAATGCGAAAAATTGCGGAAATTTCCGCTTCCTTTGGCAAAATTCATTTTTGCGAAAAAAAAAGTTTCGCCCTTTTTCGCGAAAGTTTTCTTTCCCATGAAACCTTAGATATAACTCGGAAAATTGGAGAGTTAGCAGAAAATAAGTAAAATACTTTGTTACATTTTTCATATTAGAATCCACTTTTCATAGAATTTAATATTTATTCTTATTTACTCACTTAGTGACCGAAGTGACCCACTCATTAACACAATGACTCACAAACTCAGTCACTTACTTACTCAGCCCCTCACTTATTTACCAATACTCTTACTTACTCATACACTCTTACTCACACTCTCCCTCACATAATCTCTCGCTCACAACGTCTCGTATTCCCTCACTCACTTAATCAAGCCCTCACTCACTCACTTACTAACCCTCTCACACACTCTCTCACACACTGACCCTCTCACACACTGACCCTCTCACACACTGACCCTCTCACACACTCTCTCACACACTGACCCTCTCACACACCCCCTCACACCCCGACCCTCTCGTTTGTTTAAAAATCCCTTATCCCCAAGTAAAGTTTACTGTCCACTAAACTGAGAGAAAATAACACAATAAAATAATTCCAAACAAACAGTTCTCTTCAAAGGGGAGAATTATTATCTTTTCCAGGTCCGGCTTTATTTTTACCAGGGGGGAGGGAGGGGAGGAAAGATGGGATGAGGGAGGGGGAAAACAAGGGGAAGTGTATTGTATCGAAAGATGAGTATACTATGCAAGGTCTGTGGATTATATTCTGTCTGATATTATAACAGTGTGTGGGGTATATTCTGTCTGATATTATAACAGTGTGTGGGGTATAAACTGCATATTCGGGGAATGAAGTTTAAGAGACCTGCATCATGAATTTAGAAGGATAAGCACTGCACGAAGCATGTAAACAATGCATTTATGTCGAGCTGATATTTATGCAGTAAATAAATATTTATATTTTGGAATATAAATATAATTTTATCTTTATTTAAACAAACAGAGATTACTACTTAATGTATATAGATTTAAATACTTTGCTTAAATTTAATTTTTAAATGTCCAGCCTAAATAAGGAAATACGTCTTCTGTCAAAGTACTTTTCTTGGCATACATAACAAAAGCAAACTTTTACATTTTTTTTTCAAAAATCCCTGTAGATTTTTAAGAAGGGTCCAAGAAATCGAAAGAAATATCCAAAAGTTATTTTAATTATTTACAGTCTATTTACATTATCAAGTACACTGGGTGGCAACAGAGAAATGGATCAATTATACACAAGTATCAAATATAACAAGAAAAGTGAAATTTTCTCTTATTATTTGACATGTTTTTCAAGATTAAATAAAAAAGTGTAAAAACAGAAAATAAATAAGACACAAAATTGCACCTTTTTCACTGTAAGATAAGCTCTTTATTCTAAAATTATCACTATTATTAATAATTTTGTCGGACACAATACTGAGTTGACACTTGTGATGTAAGAATACAGCTGTACTGAGAGTGTACAAATACTACGTTGCCATCTATTGTACTTAACAATCTATTTGGTACAATCTATCTACATATATACCTTAAACTTTGTTCTTTGCATTGAACTCCCTTTTCATGGTTTAACCAGGATATATCAACACATTTTAAATTCTATGAGTTTAACGTCTTATTTAGTTTGCGAAAACCAAACCTGCTAAATGCATAAACCGATGACTTTGCAAAATCTGTTTTTGGTCAATAAAATTGCACTTCATGGGGGGGGGGGTAGGTTTGCAACTTTAGAATTCTAAATCTGCGAAAATCATGTTTTTCCGAAATATACAAATATGCTTCTTTTTGGTATAAGTCCTCGAAGTATATGACTCGTCAAATTNTTATCAATTTACGTATTATCCATAAAAGGGACTTCAGAGACGACTGAATGAAAAGGAATTGAACACTATAGCCACACAAACTAATGTTTTTATCCTGAAATCTTTGCAACCTGATGTCTGAGACCTAATATAGTCCAACCTTAAAATTCTGCTACATCTAATTGTTCAAAATATCTAAGGTTTGCAATGTCAGGTTGCAAAGATAGAGGGTTAAGAAAAGGTTTGTGGCGAATGTTTGTTTCCTTTATCCTGTCCGTTTATCCACCATTTTTTATGAGTTTAAAATCGCCATTAAAGTCTTATTTGTGTTGAACCATAGTGTTGTTAATTAATCATGAAAGCACTTCAATGCTGCGCACAGTTTTCCATATAATTAAAAAAAGATATGTAGCATAATCCGAAATATGTCACAATATACAATGCCGACTTCAAGCCCTATATCTATAACAAGTAATAGGTTTACTATAGTTTCAGTAGAAGTAAATATTTCCATTAACTGTTAGCGCCGATTGAAGGATTCACAGCTCTAATTGTATAATGAGATATATAGAAAGATAGATTTACTGCCAAACTATTTCTATTGGTTCAGAATAGACAACAAACACATGACTGAACCCTGATTGGATCAGGCGCTAATTAACTTGGCATACAGGAGTGGGTTTGGAACCCAATAGACTTAAAAACTTCAATATAGATAAAACAGTGCCCGTAAAACATTTATCTGTGTAGCAATAAGAAAGAGATCGATATATTTCTGGAAAATAAGGTTTTTTGCTCATTTTCTTCCTATCATGGTTCTTCTGCATAATTCTGCATGGCACGTATACAGATGAAGAAACTTCAATGGAAAGAAATCAATTTTAAGAGAGGGAAACAAGGATAAATTTCCATTATTTTTGCTCAAATTTTTGGTTAAACAATTTTGAAATCTGTCTAAATATTGTTTGCCTTTTTTTAAAATCCAATCAACATCAAAATCTACCCTTTTTATTTGTACCTCACATCACATGGCCCCTGAAAAGGTTTTGGAGTATCGGAATTTAGCCTCTTAAAATTTAAAAATTTGGATAACTTAGAAATCCACAAAAAAAACAAGAAGAATTTTCGAAATTTTGAATTGCTAAATTGTTAGACAATACCCTAGAATCTTGTAACAGATAAAACTAAAGAAATTACGAAACCTCTGAGTCTGACTAGAAAAATTTATTTTTTCCATTAATAAACATCATTACTAAATATATAATATGTATATATATAAAATTGTAGATAGCATTTTGAGGTTAGATCAAGTCTAAATCAATTCAAGTGTAGAAGTAGGTTAATTATTTGGGTGTGTGCGAAATTTAAGTTTGGCAAATAAATTGTATTTTAGCTTATCATCAAATGGTATTTAAAGAATTTTGCATGCAGCACCAAACTTCACACCGAATTTTAGTATCTAAGTGTACAAAAGTCGAATAATCGTACAGTACTGAGCCCAAAACTTAAGACAGGGTATCGTTCTGAAAACTAGTTTTAAAACCCGGGTTTAACGAAGGGGTAAGGCAGTTTTGTAAATATCAATATGTTTGTTATGAAATATCATTTTATTCAGTTTGTTTATAATCTCAATTTTTTCCGAATCTCTTAAATCAAAATCTACACTGCAAATGTTAAGATCCCAAAAAGGAAACTCGGGAGTTTTGTCCAGCGATACTCTTTTAAATTTCGGGCTCTGTGTACAATGTACAGAATAAAAGCAATATTCTATTGTACATGCACAGCGTATAACATGTGTATTAGGTCAACAAAGTATGTACAATTCAATTACAAGCACATTTTATCTAACCCTTCAGAGTGAATATTCATGTACAAATATATACACTCTAAACTACGTTACAATTACTTAGGAATTAAATTCTAAAATTGAAAAGTTCAAACAGCAAATTTTAATATTTATGATAAATGTTAATCACAAGTTTTTATATTTAATTGGAATTTCTTTTAAATCGATAAGATCTTCAACTTTTTGACGCTTTACATAAAAAAATTTAACATTTTTTTGAGATTCAGAGTACTATGAATAAATATTAAAACTTTTACAAGTTGACAACATTTTTACATCACTGGGTTTGTTGGCAATTTCTGCTTGCAAATAACATTCTGAACAACGCATCAGTATTTTCGCAGATTTGCATCAAATGAGGTTGAGAGATTTAGGATTGGCTCCACGATGTGAAGATATGGCACTGGTTGATATTATCACTATTTAGTAGCACAAAAAACCGCCATTTTGACCTCATGACGGCCATTTTGGAAATTAGGTTTTGTATATGGATGCACAGCTTGGATTTGCATGCTCGGTAAGTCTGTACTTGGGCAGGGTAATAAATAACGGCAAATTCTAATGAGTTTGACCATTCACTTTTTATGCCCCCATTGTTTTAATCTCTTTAGACACTTGTAAACAGGCTCTACACATTAGGGTGTACATATGTATAAACAGAGCCCAAAGTTTAAAGTGTACAATTTACTAATCTCACTAAGTCCTGACCGAGTATAAAAAAGCTATAAGATAAATAAGAAGAGCAGAGGCAGAAAGATGTACCGAAGACGACATTGTAGACGCTTCTTGTTTGACTAATCCGTTCCTTCTAGAATATTTATCTCCGTCTATCGATCTATCTAAACCGGTTTGAAAGGATCTAATATCTTGGATTGGGCGCGTGTTCTGCTTGTCAGAGTTGATGTGCACCCGGGGGGAGTTAATGGTTGGAAGGGTGCCACCGCCCCCTGTCCCCTGGTGCCCCCCTCCTGCACCCCCCTGATGTACAGGGTCGGCAACTTTAAACACAACCTAAAAAACATACTTACGTCTTAGATTAAATCAAAAAAGATTTCTGAAAAGTTTGTTTCATTTAAACCTCTGGAAAGAATTCACCTTTTAAAATATTCAAACATTTTCAATTTGCTAAATTGCAATTTCATGCAGCTACCGCGAGAAGTTTGCACACTCGACTCAATGGGAAAACTTGGAAAAATATGAATATATTTGCAACAACAGAATGCAGAATTATTTCAGAAAGTGAGAAGTTTAAAAGATTTAAAAGCTTGGATTGTATTTGGACAGCTAAAGATAATTGGCAAGTTTTCTTTAAAAATGTAAAAAAAAAGTAATTTTCCTTAAAATTATGATCTAAGAACAAACAGATAGGTTAAAAATTGATGATAGGCTAAACAAGGGACTTTTGCAACTTTGATTAAATGCATTACTTAGCTAATTAAAAATTCAAAAAATATTCCAGATCCTTTAAAAAAAAATAAGGGTGTTTTGTGAGCATTTTCAAATAAAAAAAAATCTTTTAAATTTAACAGAAACCATTGATCAAAATAATGAAACAAATCAATGTTGATTATAAAATGTAAAATTTAGGGTTTCCAATCGCAATTCCGTTGCGCGCAACCGTTCTCGAATTGCGCGCAATTGTGATTAGTAAAGTGAGATAAATAAAACTGTGGAATAAGAAGATTATCGGTTGACTCAAGTAATGAATTTAACCTAAAACAAATAAATTGTGCAGTGCACACAGACCCATTTCATCAGTTGGCTCTCCAGCTACTTGTAAAAATATTTGCTTTATAACATCATTGTATTACACATTAGATGTCATCTTTTTTCCACAGTTATATGTGGATCACTGTAAAAAATAGCGTTTAACAAATTTAAAATTTTGATAAAGACGTGAATATATTCCTTCATATTATGTTGTGAGCAGGCACCTCCTTGTCTTCTATAAAGGTCCCCGGACCACGAGGTAGAAATAAAATAATAATCCTTCCCCGGATGGAATTCCAGGGCCCGGGGGGTCGGGCTGAAATTTCTGAAATAAAGAGATTATTATTTTTCATTAATTTGTGAGTAACACTTTAAAGGATCTATTTTGTCTATATTTAGGTTTTTATTCAAATAAATTTTCTTGATAAAGTAAGCTCACATCAAATTGAGTTACAACATACAGTGAGCTCATTTCAATTTGAGTTACAGTGAGCTGATTTCAATCTGAGTTACAGTGAGCTGATTTCAATCTGAGTTACAGTGAGCTGATTTCAATTTGAGTAACAGTGAACTGATTTCAATGTGAGTTACAGTGAACTGAAATAAATTTGAGTTACAGTGAGCTGATCTCAGTTTGAGTAAAAGTGAGTTGATTTCAGTGTGAGTTAAAGTAAACTGGTTTCAGTTTGAGTTAAATTGAGTTGATTTCAGTTTGAGTTAAAGTAAGCTAATTTCAGTTTGAGTCAAAGTAAGCTGATTTCAGTTTGAGTTAAAGTAAGCTGATTTCAGTTTGAGTTAAATTGAGTTGATTTCAATTTGAGTTAAAGTGAGCTGATTTCAGTTTGAGTTAAAGTAAACTGATTTCAGTTTGA